TTGACTGGTGAGCAGTCGTCTCCCAACAACTCTTTCCATGGAGAACAGTTAACAGATTCCAGGGGTCTGTAGGATACAGTGTGGGGGAGGAATAAGGAAAACTGACAGCTATCTTATCACAGCCTTTCTACACTACCTGACCATGTGACCATGCAGAATATGGTGTTGCTGGATATGGACTCTATATACTGTAACATCTCTAGTACACAGCAAGGAGCCTCTGTGGACTACAACGTGAGTAGCACCTAACAAAGCTACAGTGTAACCTTTGTGGGCAGTACAGTGGCTAAGTGGTTAGCACTTCCGCCTGGCGAGTACTTAGGTCATTGGCTCGAATCCCAACCATGGCAGCACCTGCCTGGAGTTTGCATGTTCTCCCTGTGCCTGCATGGGTTTCATCCAGGGGTACTCCGGTTTCCTCCCACACTCCAAAGACATGCTGGTAGGTCAATTGGATCCTGTCTAAATTGGCCCTAGTATGTGTATGAATGTAAGTTAGGGACCTTAGATTGTATGCCCCTTGAGGGTTAGGGATTGATGTGAATGTACAATATACAGTCATGGCCGAAATTGTTGGCACCCTTGATATTTTTCCTGAAAATCATGTATTTCTCACGAAACGTATTGCATTAACACATGTTTTGCTATACACATGTTTATTCCCTTTGTGTGTATTGGGACAAAACAAAAAACTTTAAGGAAAGAAGCAAATTCGACATAATGTCACACAAACCTCCAAAAATGGGCTGGACAAAAGTATTGGCACCCTTTCACAACTGCGGATAAATAAGAATGTTACAAGCATGTGATGCTCCTGTAAACTCACCTGGGGCAAGTAACAGGTGTGGGCAATATAGAAATCACACCTGAAAGCAGATAAAAAGGAGAGACGTTCACTTAACCTTTGCATTGTGTGTCTGTCTGTGCCACTAAGCATGGACAACAGAAAGAGGAGACGAGAATGTCTGAGGCCTGAGAACCAAAATTGTGGCAAAATATCAACAATCTCAAGGTTACAAGTCCATCTCCAACTAGATTTGCCTTTGTCCCACAGTGCGCAACATTATCAAGAGTTTGAACCCATGGCACTGTAGCTAATCTCCCTGGTCGTGGACGGAGAGGAAAATTGATGAAGGATTGCAACGCAGAATAGTCCGGATGGTGGATAAGCAGCCCCAAACATGTTCCAAAGACATTCAAGCTGTCCTGCAGGCTCAGGGAGCATCAGTGTCAGCGCGAACTATCCGTCGACATTTAAATGAAATGAAACGCTATGGCAGGAGACCCAGGAGGACCCCACTGCTGACACAGAGACATAAAAAAGCAAGACTACAGTTTGCCAAAATGTACTTGAGTAAGCCAAAAGCCTTCTGGGAAAACGTCTTGTGGAAGATGAGACCAAGATAGAGCTTTGGTAAAGCACACATTCTACTGTTTACCGAAAACGGAATGAGCCTACAAAGAACAAAACACAGTACCTACGGTAAAATATGGTGGAGGTTCAATGATGTTTTGGGGTTGTTTTGCTGCCTCTGGCACTGGGTGCCTTACTGTGTGCAAGGCATCATGAAATCTGAGGATTACCAAAGGATTTTGGGTCGCACTGTAGGGCCCTGTGTCAGAAAGCTGGGTTTGCGTTCAAGATCCTGGTCTTCCAGCAGGACAATGACCCCAAACATACGTCAAAAAGCACTCAGAAATGGATGGCAAAGAAGCGCTGGAGAGTTCTGAAGTGGCCAGCAATGAGCCCAGATCTAAATCCCATTGAACACCTGTGGAGAGATCTTAAAATTGCTGTTGGGAAAAGGTGTCCTTCCAATAAGAGAGACCTGGAGCTGTTTGCAAAGGAAGAGTGGTCCAAAATTCCGGGTGAGAGGTGTCAGAAGCTTATTGATGGTTATAGGAAGCGACTGATTTCAGGATGTTTTCCAAAGGGTGTGCAACCAAATATTAAGTTAAGGGTGCCAATACTTTTGTCCAGCCCATTTTTGGGGTTTTGTGTGACATTATGTCATATTTGCTTTTCTGCCTTGTTTTATATTTGTTCCAATACATACCATGTGTATAGCAAAACATGTGTTAATGCAATACCTTTTTTTGTGTGAAATACTTGATTTTCAGGAAAAATATCAAGGGTGCCAACAATTTCGGCCATGACTGTATATGTAAAGTGCTGTGTAAATTGATGGCAATATATAAGTACCTGAAATAAATAAAAACCCATATTACCACTGTCACTATGAAAACATTCTTTAGTCCAATGAAGCCAGTAAAAGAAAGTTACATACCACTTTTGCAGGTCAGTCTTGGTTTTCTTCAAGAGATAACAGCACTACTGCTATCCAAAACTTCCCAGTGTGTTGGATAGCATGTCTCCTATTGGATGCTGTAGTTCCTCCAACCATCCAATATATCATTACCCTATAGTGACTTAACAGCCATCAGGAAAAACCACAGCGTCAAACAGGGGACATGTTACCCATCACACCCTGAACTATGAGATATCAGCAACTCCGTTACCTAGGAAAATTGTGATTTGATCTGCCAAAATGTGCAAATTTTTCCCTTAAAAGCTCACTCAAGCTAAACCTTTTATTACAGTGATAGCGTTACTTTTAAGTGCGACTAGCTGAAATACAGAGTATTGTGTGACTCAGCACAGCGTCCAGGTGAGTGTTCATTTGTTATTTGTCTGGGCCGGTTCTGCGATGGTGCACATTCAATGTACCTTCTGTCTATGTGCCTTTATGGCCCTGTTCACACATACTGCAGTGACTGGTATTTTACCGCAGATCACTTCACGGACATGTAGAAAACAATTGTGTTCTGTTCACACCATGCTACATGTGTGCATTTTAATGCAATGCACATAAATGCATGTAAACGCACATCACTGAAATGCAAATCTACTGCGAAAAAAAGCTGTTTGTTATTTTGTCCATTACAAGGACCCATAGCAATTTAATGTGCATAAAACATATTTATTTATTTATTATTTATTTCAGGTACTTATATAGCGCCGTCAATTTACACAGCGCTTTACACATATATATTGTACATTCACATCAGTCCCTAACCCTCAAGGGGCGTACAATCTACTGTCCCTAACTCACATTCATATGCTAGGGCCAATTTAAACAGGATCCAATTAACCTACCAGAATGTCTTTAGAGTGTGGGAGGAAACCGGAGGACACCCATGCAGGCACAGGGAGAACATGCAAACTCCAGGCAGGAGGTGCCATGTCTGGGATTTGAACTAACGACCCTAGTACTGCCAGGCGGAAGTGCTAACCATTTAGCAACTGTCCTGCCCATATCAACATACATAAAAACACACACTAATGGAAGGCAATACACATCCTTTTTTGAGCATCTTCATGATTTTTAATGCATGTGTGAACAAGTATAAAAATGTGTACTGAAAAAAAAGCATATACATTCATGTGCCCATCTGTGTTCCGTGTGCTCAATGCATGTCTCCCATTATATTGTAAAGCGCTGAGCAAACTGTTGGCGCTATATAAATCCTGTATAATAATAATTTTTTTTTTCATACAGCAATGCAGTGCGAAGGGCAATATAATGCCAGGGCATGAATGTTAAACGGACAGTACAGTTTAGACCCTTTTCCTCTGAAGGTAAGAATTGCATTTAGTGGTGAATGGTTATTTGGGTAGCACAGTGGCTAAATGGTTAGCACTTCCACCTGGCAGTACTAGGGTCATTGCTTCAAATCCCAACTATGGCACCACCTCCCTGGAGTTTGCATGTTCTCCCTGTGCCTGCGTGGGTTTCCTCCAGGTACTCTGGTTTCCTACCACACTCCAAAGACATGCTGGTAGGTGAATTGGCTCCTGTCTAAATTGTCCCTAGTATGTGTATGTAGGAATGTGAGTTAGGGACCTTAGATTGTACACCCCTTGAGGGTTAGGGACTGATGTGAATGTACAATATATATGTAAAGCGTTGTGTAAATTGACGGCATTATATAAGTAACTGAAATAAATAAATATGTAGGCAGGCAATGTCCTTCTGAAAAGATTGCCCAACTGCTACTTGTTTCAATGCTTTCTGAGTCAGTGACATGGAATAAGTATGTTGTGAATGAAGTTAAAACTCCTAATCTACATATTGGGGTAGACCAGGGGTGGACTGACCATTTGGGAGCTCGGGCACTGCCCAAGGGCCCGGGGTCAGTAGGGGGCCCCATGAAATGCCCCTGGTACCTTTCATAGGCTTTTTTGGGTGTGGTTCGAGTGTGGGTGAGGACACAGGGGCCCCATGACCCCTATTGCCTGGGGGCCCCATAAGTTGTCAGTCCGCCCCTGGTGTAGACTTACTAAAACAGACAACTGGCTTCTAACTTCAGCTTGTTCATTTAAGCTTTGACGTAAAAAAAACTGGAAGCTGATTGGATTCTATGCAGAACTGCACCAGATTTTGCACTCTCCAGTTTTAGTAAATCAACCCCTTTGATTCCATGTCAGTGGCTATGGAACTACAGACACCACAGAATCAGCATGACAGCCAGGGAACTAACATATTCATAAGAGGTCACAAACTGCCCATGCATCTTTTTGTCACCCAAGCTCCTAGTGCAGTTATAATGTGCGTATATCAAATCCAACTAAAACTGTATATGTAAAAGAAACACAAAAGGTGTTATTTTTAGTATGTTGATGTCCTGATTAATTCACAAGAAGGAGAGCAGTGTTAACAATGGCGTCGTCCTCCAATACGAAGGGCAGCACTGATCAGTATGCAGAGTGTGTCCCAGGAATGCGAGCAATGCGCCTAGCCTCAGAGGTGGCCAGTACACTTGGCAGAAGACATTGAGTTCTCCTCACACACCCAGAGCACTGACAACTGACTATATACACTGCACAGCAATGTTTTCCATCACTAGAGAAAACAAGGCTGCTGGAGCCCAGTACTGGAACTTGTGACTCCCAAAGAGCCCACACCATATTCCTCATAGAGCAGTGAGATCATTGTTACCTGGGAGTCTGTCAGCTGGAATTGTTCCTTGTATGCCATATACACCAGGAAGGAGTTGATACCTGCAGAACAAGAGCAGAGAATTCATCAGTACACATTACATAGAACTCCAACTGAACAATCAAACTAAACATTTAAAGCAGGTATAATGTCCTTTGCCTACGTTTAACATATTTTCTTTTTCTGTGTGGCTGAATTTTGTGCATTCATGCAATATGATCGCTTTTAATCTCAAGAATCAGACTCCCATTTAAAGGATAAGTTCACCTTTCAGCAAAAAAAGAATAAATACACATTTTTTTGCAGGTAAGAAAACGTGCATTTATTATTTTTTGTTTTGGGAGCCTGTAAATCATTGCACCAGTGATCAGCAGATCACTGATGCCATGTAGGTCTCCTGCAGACCTGTCACTGTATCTGCTTCCTCATATGAGGAAGTCAATACTTTCTGACAGGAAGACTCAATGAACTACCACAGCGCTCACATTGCCGTGGTAGTTCATTGAGAACTACAAGCCAACAGCCACAAAGAGCTGAGCTTGTAGTTTTCTCATTTACACTGTGAATGAGTGAATGGGGTTTTTTAAATTGTGACAGCTAGCAGGAGGAGAAGATTCCTGGGTTCTTTTTTAAATTGTGACAGCTAGCGGGAGTAGAAGATCCCTGGGTTTTTTTTAAATTGTGACAGCTAGCGGGAGGAGAAGATCCCTGGGATTTTTTTTAATTGTGACAGCTAGCAGGAGGAGAAGATCCCTGGGTTGTTATTAAATTGTGACAGCTAGCGGGAGGAGAAGATCCCTGGGATTTTTTTTAACCTCCCTGGCGGTATGATTATTTCAGATTTTTGGTGCTGAAAGCGGTACCATTTTTTTTGCATGGAAATATGTATTTTTTTAATTGTAGGCCTGTAGTTTTTAGGAAAAACTCACTGAAATCTGTCCGAACAAGAGTCTAGTAAACATCCCGGGTATGATAAAATTTGAAACACAAAATCATAAATTATAATTTAATAAATAATCATAAAAATAATATAAAAATAAAAAAAATTTAATTCAATAATATAATCAAACCAAAAACACTGAAATTTGAAATATAGCGCCAAATTCGCACATCGCTGAGCTCAGTCGCAGAATCGTTTTCAGTGTCTGATGAGGAATTTCCCCACGAATCATTATCACTCAATTCTGCAAGTGGTTCTGATTTACTATCGCTGTTCTCTAGCTGGTCTAAACCCGCTTTTGACCTAAAGGGACACTTTTTGGATGCCATGGACATTTCTCAGTTTCCAGGCAGAAAGAACAGATAAAATGCAGGCAGGGCGCCGGACAAAGCACTCGGGACAAAATGTATGTGAAATTGGTTGAGACAGCAATGTTTTACTATGTAAAATGTAAAAAAAAAAAAAAAAAGACATTTTTTAAAATTTTTAAATTTCCCGCCACCGGCAGCGGCGCCCGTACGTCCCGACGTCACAGGGACAGGACACAGAAGCCGGATGCCGGCATCGGCCGGAGGAGATGGCCGGGGACGCTGCAGGGGACACATCGCGGGAGCGCAGGGTAAGGTAAGTGAAGAACAAATGCCGGAGCAGTGCCGCGTGGTATTCCCGAGTGTAGCTCGGGGTTACCGCTTTTGGTACTGAAATGTTACCCCGAGCTACACTCGGGAATACCGCTAAGGAGGTTAATTGTGACAGCTAGCAGGAGGAGAAGATCCTGGGTTGTTATTAAATTGTGACAGCTAGCGGGAGAAAAGATCCCTGTTTTGTTTTTTAAATCCCTGTTTTTTTGTTTTTTAAAATTGTGACAGCTAGCGGAAGGAGAAGATCCCTGAGTCCCTGAGTTTTTTATTAAATTGTGACTAGGAAAAGCCTGTTTTTTTTTAAATTGTAGCTAGCAGGAGGAAAAGATCCCTGGGTTTTTATTAAACTGTGACAGCTAGCGGGAGGAGAAGATCCCTGGGTTTTTATTAAACTGTGACTGCTAGCGGGAGGAGAAGATCCCTGGGTTTTTATTAAATTGTGACAGCTAGCGGGAGGAGAAGATCCCTGGGTTTTTATTAAACTGTGACTGCTAGCGGGAGGAGAAGATCCCTGGGTTTTTATTAAACTGTGACAGCTAGCGGGAGGAGAAGATCCCCTGCTAGCTGTCACAAGGGGGATTGCAGGATCAGGGGGGTGCGGGGAACGGTTCGTTCATAACATGTTACACCCTGAATATGGGTGTAGCATATAACATGTTACGAAAGGTTATAGAATCACAACTCATGGATATGTCTAACATGACTCTCCAGCTGCCCAAACAATTCTTCCAGCTTAAATCATACTGCAAGGACTGTGCAGCCATTATTGAATTTCAGCTGGTGTGCAATGGATGATACAAATTATACTAAAAGAAGGCCTGCAGGCAATTACTCAAAATTGATTTGAACATTGTTTTTCACTAACTCACTGAATGTATACATTCAATTTTGCCTGGCACTTTTTCACACAGATGTCTATTTGTAAAAAAAAAATTTGCTTTGTGAATGGCTCAGCATTCCTGCAAATATCACAGATAATACCTGTAGTGTTTGTATTATGTTTGAAATGTAAGCTTAAATTGGTTACCTTTGTAACATCCCCCAACATTCCACTACCCAAAGAGAAAAATAGTCTTGGGAAGATTTGGACAGAAAAATTCAAGTACATTCAGCCAATAGAGAAAATATCCTAACACTATTGGCTGAAGAACTTTTGGCCAAAAGAAGAAATACTACAAGGGAGATCTCTGCACTGTTGATGTACAGATTCGCTCAGTGAAAGTGCATGTCCATTCATTCTGTGCAAATGGGGCAAAAAATAATAACGTAAAAAGCCTATACTGTGTGCTGCTTGAAGGTGAATTATGGATTTAAAACAGATTATATTGCAACAGTGAACTGCTATACAGAACTGATGCAGTGTTGCAGAGACAAAACTTCTTGTTTGACAAGTTTACCAGACAGAAGCTTTCACAGATGAGCTACAGTTTTGATTTAAGCCCCTTTCTCACAGGGCGGACTCCATCAAGCGGATCTGCCTGCTCAGTGAGGGATCTGTCCGCTGATCCCCGCTGAGCAAGTGGATGACAGGTCCGTGTCTGTTGCGCTTGTGCAGAGCAGACACAGACTGCTATTCTCTATGGGTCAGTCAGATGTAAACGAAATGGAACAGATCCTCATCCATCTATTTTTGGTGGAACGGATTGTATTGGATGCAGGCAGGTGTAGATGGACACATGTCCGTTTAATTCCACTCCCCCATAGAGAACAATGGGTGGTCCGATCGGGTCCTAGCTGACTGCTTGTCTGTTGTCAACATCTCTTTGTGGCTGCCGGAAAGAGCTAGCACCAGGCTGGATAGGAGGGGTGGCGGGGTGTCATATAGAAAAACTGATCTTCTCCATTTTTCTCCTGGCTCCTCCTGAAGGACTTTCAATAGCTGCAGGAGCCAAGAGGAAATGGAGGAGATTGCTTCTTCTATGTGACCCCGCCTATCCAGATGTAGACATGTGTGACAGGGAAGCCACATGGGGCCCCCTGCAGCAGGACTACAGACTGTTTCCACATTTTGATGTGGCAGTGCTGGGCCAATTACAAAGCACCAGTGCTGTCGCATTGGGATAACGAGTCACAAATACATCCATACTTAGACATGCCGGCTATTTCACTTTGTTTCCGGCAATGTCATGGAGGACAGAAAAGGTCAGTACGTGCAACTGGTTTGGTTAATTAAGGTACCCTGTTACTTTTCCCTGCTTTAGCAAATTAATGGTCTATGTTACAGCTTACTATATCCAAATATACTTAACTTATCCTTTAACCCCAGTGCCCCACTGCCATCCTATTGTATTGGAACAGTCAGGTTTCTGTGCTTTGGAAAGTCAATGTCTAGATACAACTCTACATAAAGCACACTCGAGGCTTCCAAGTGTTCTGGATTGAGGCATTTTTTCTTTTAGGAGAACCCAACTGTTACATCGTGTCTTCCGAAAGCAAGGGAGGATTTTGGAAGTGACAACTGAGCGCAACCATTCATCCCTTCCACCAGTGCCTCCTGATGCACACAGGAGATAAAATTCACTACAAATAGGAAAATATCAGTTGTTTAAATATGCTCACAGATTTTGGCAACCACAAAAACAGGAAGGTTGGGGGGCTTTTGCTACATGGCAAGCCACTGTCAGGGAATCCCTTTTACTGAGACAGAATGAAAAACTGATAACCGCTTCCCGACCGCCCTATAGCAGATATACTGCTACAAGGCAGCACGGTCGGCAAAATCACGTATATATATATATATATATATATATATATATATATATATACATACAGTTGCAAGAAAAAGTATGTGAACCCCTTGGGATTACGTGGAGTTTTGCATGAATTGGGCATAAAATGTGCTCTGAACGTCATCTAAGTCACAACAATAGAAGAACACAGTCTGCTGAACATAATACTACACAAACATTAGATGTTGCCATGGCTTAATTGCACATAACATGTAAACATTCACAGTGCAGGGAGGAAAAAGTATGTGAAGCCCTAGCTTAATGACTTCTCCCAGAGCTAATTGGAGCCAGGAGTGAGCCAACCTTGACTCCAATCAGTGGGATGATATTGGATGTGTTGCTGACAGCTGTACTGCCCTTAAAAAAACACACACCTGTTTTGGGTTTACTGGTTTCAAGAAGCACTGTCTGATGTGAACCATGCCTCACAGAAAAGAGCTCTCAGAAGACCTACGATCAAGAATTGTTGACTTGCATGAAGCTGGAAAGTGTTACAAAAGTTTCTCCAAAAGCCTTGATGTTCATGTGTCCACGGTAAGACAGACTGTCTACAAATGGAGAAAGTTTAGCACTGTTGCTACTCTCCCTAGGCATGGTCGTCCTGTAAAAATGACTGCAAGAGCACATCGCAGAATGCTGCATGAGGTAAAGAAGAATCCCAGAGTGTCAGCTAAAGACCTACAGAAATCTCTGGCACATGCTAACATTTTTGTTGACACATCTACAATAAGGAAAACATTAAACAAGAATGGAGTACATGGGAGGACACCACGGAGGAAGCCATTGCTGTCCAAAAAGAATATTGCAGCACGTTTGAAGTTTGCAAAAGAGCACCTGGATGTTCCACAGCACTACTGGCAAAATATACTGTGGGCAGATGAAACCAAGATTGAGTTGTTTGGGAAGAACACACAACACTATGTGTGGAGAAAAAAAGGCACAGCACACCAACATCAAAACCTCATCCCCACTGTGAAACATGGCGGAGGGAGCATCATGGTTAGGGGCTGCTTTGCTGCCTCAATGCCTGGACAGATTGTTGTCATTGATGGGAAAATGAATTCCAGAGTTTATCAAGGCATTTTGCAGGAAAACGTACGACCATCTGTCCGCCAACTGAAGCTCCGCAGAGGATGGGTGATACAACAGGACAATGACCCAAAGCATACAAGTAATTCAACAAAACAATGGCTGCAGCAGCACAGAATACGCCTTCTGGAGTGGCCCAGTCAGAGTCCTGACCTCAACCCGATTGAAATGCTGTGGCATGACCTTAAGAGAGCGATTCACACTAGACATCCCAAGAATATTGCTACACTGAAACAGTTTTGTGAAGAGGAGTGGTCCAAAATGACTCCAGATCGTTGTGCAGGTCTGATCTGCAACTACAGGAAACATTTGGTTGAGGGTATTGCTGCCAAAGGAGGGTCAACCAGTTATTAAGTCCAAAGGTTCACATACTTTTTCCTCCCTGCACTGTGAATGTTTACATGTTATGTGCAATTAAACCATGGCAACATCTAATGTTTGTGTAGTATTATGTTCAGCAGACTGTGTTCTTCTATTGTTGTGACTTAGATGACGTTCAGAGCACATTTTATGCCCAATTCATGCAAAACTCCACGTAATCCCAAGGGGGTTCACATACTTTTTCTTGCAACTGTATATATATACACACACACACACACACACACACACACGTGATTTTGCATTTCTGGGTAGGGGACGCGTTCCCTACCCACGCTGCCATTCGCGGCTGTCAATCACCGGCTGTCAATCACCTGACCGGTGATTACTCGCCGGTGCCCAGTGATTCACAAGCATCTCCGACGGGGAGGAGAACTGTATGCAAACAATACAGTTTTCCTCTGTGTCAGCTCGGCCGGTGATTACTCACCGGTGCCCAGTGATTCACAAGCATCTCCGACGGGGAGGAGAACTGTATGTAAACAATACAGTTTTCCTCTGTGTCAGCTCGTGCACACTGCTTTGGATGGCTGTGCACAGCAAAGCAGTGGCTTACAGAGTAAAACAGCACAGTTAGCCCTTTGATCACCCCACATGTTAACCCTTTCTTGCCCAGTGCCATTAGTACAGTGTCAGTGCTTTTTTTCAGCACTGATCACTGTATTGGTGTCACAGGGAATGTCAGTGACACCAAGTGAGTTCCCCCCCAGTGTCAGAATGCATGCCGCAGTCCTGCTATAATTCGCTGATCGCCACCATTACTAGTAAAAATTAAAAAAAAAAATCCCAGTATATATTCCACCATTTGTAAATGCTGTAACTTTCGCGTAAACCAATTAATTTACATGTATTGGGATTTTTTTTTAGCAAACACATGTAGCAGAATACATTTTGGCCTAAATGTATGACAAAATTAAATTTTTTACTTTTTTTTACTGGACATTACTGGACAAAAAGCCAAAAATATTGTTTTTTTCTCAAAATTGTCGGGCATTTTTTTTATAGTGCAAAAAAAAAAAAAAAACACACAGGCGAACAAATACCACCGAAAGAAAGCTCAATTTGTGCGAAAAAAGGAGGTAAATTTCATTTTGGTGCAGTGTTGCATGACCGCGCAATTGTCAGTTAAAGTAACGCAGTGCTGTAACACAAAAAATGACCTGGTCAGGAAGGAGGGTAAATCCTCAGGAGGGCAAGTGGTTAAACACATCTCTTACACTTTGGATGTTTGTATATGTTTATGGTTGTTATTGTACTCACCGTGGTCTTTCACCAGTGCCTCCATTTCCTCTTGTACGCCCTTGTGCCACTCCGTGATGTCCACATGCAAGGAATAGTCACAACAGGATTTGCTGTCTGCCCATTCCCTCCACTGGTCAAAAGCAGTAAGCAGGCTGGTCCCTGGCTCTGGCACAACATGGTCAACTGGTATCAGGAAAGACAAAGACAGATTATAAATTATGACTCCCAAGAAATCAAACCTTCATTCAGTTACTTAAATAATAGTGTCATTCCGAATTTAAATCTGACTCCCTGCAAAATAGTTGAAATATATTATATATTATATTAGGAAGCAAATTATCTGCAAAAGTATTTGTATTTGTGCCTTTTTGTATTTGTGAGTCTTGAGATTCACACAGCCATACCAGTCCATACAGAAAGACTGGTGATCACACTTTACTCTGCTGTAGTTAAAGTGTTACTAAACCCAGGACCCTGCATTCACTATATCTGGTCTCCCACAGTACACACAACATGGAAATGCAATTATTTTAGTAAATATAATTGCTAAATAGCTTTTCTCATCAGTAGTTAGAGCAGTCTTGTGACTTCTATCAGTGTTCAGCAGAGCACTGGTTAAAACTTGTAGGAGGAGTTTTCTTTCTGCTCTCAGAGGATGCAGAACCCCTCAGCTCTGTCTGGACAGTGATAATTGGCCCTGTGCTGATCACATGCACTCTCCGAAGAGAAAAAAAAAAAAACCTTTATACACATGCTCAGTTTAGCGTGTATTGCTAAAGTGTCTCCACACGATATGTCTTATCAGGAGATAAGAGGAGGACAGTGGAAGAAGGGGAGAATCAGAGAAATCAGGATCAGATAGCATTTTTCCACAATGGAGCAGATTAGCCCCTCAGGTTCCACAGTGTGTACAACAAGCATGCTTTTACTGCATATACAGACTGTTACTGTTGTGGGTTTAGTAACACTTTAGGCAACACACCTTGGTCCCCTGGCCTGTGACTCTACAGCAGTTTCTCAACTAGAGTACCTCTAGTCTAGAAGTTGCTAGGTGTTGCATTAAGCAATTTCTGCCTCTAAGGTAAGTTCCCAATAACACCATTGATCTCTAGCTATCTGTACGGGGATAATTCTTCCCAATGACCACAAGTGTAAGAAGAATTCTTCCCATTGACCACAAGTGTAAGAAGCATTCTTCCCATTGACCCTCACGCTAATGTAGATATAGTCAATTTTAGCAGGGGTTCCCAGAACCCGGAGAGTTATTCCAAAGGAATCTGTATGTAAGGTTCAGAAAGACTGCTCTGCTTTGAAGGAGCAGCAACAGATCGCTTAGTTCATTTCTCTGTTTTTTCATCCTGTCAGCATGTTACTTGTCAACACATGTGAAAACTTCATTGGCCCCAAGTACTGCCTGTCCCTTTCCCAGTCTGTTGTGTAGACTGTACAAGAGGCTGAAATTGAGTCAAATTTTGGTACTTACACTAGCTGCTTTTAAAATGCAAGTAATTTTTTACATAAATATAGAATTTTGTATACAAATACTGAATTGCATTCATCTGTATTTTTAAAGCAGTAGTACGCTCCAAATTCACTTGCATCTACAGGTAAGGTTATGATAAGGCTTACCTCTAGGTACAGTGAATATCTCCTAAACTTGCCAATTTGAGAGGTATTCACAGTTGCAGTAGCTGGTGACATCACCGTTGCATGTGCAGTGCACTCTGTATTGATGGTACACTGAGTGTGCCATCAATCAGAGCATCATGCCACGATCATGACTGCCATGCTCTCATACATGAATCACTGCAGTCCAGCCCTTAAAACATCTGGAGTGTATGGACCTGGAATGAAGACCGGCTTCAGTTTTGGGCACCAATTCACAAAAAGAACATTGGGGAACTGGAGAAAGTACAGAGAAGGGCAACCAAACTGATAAGAGGCATGGAGGAGCTCAGCTATGAGGAAAGATTAGAGGAACTGAATTTATTCTCTCTTGAGAAGAGGAGATTAAGGGGGGATATGATCAACATGTATAAATACATCAGTGGTTCATATAGTGAACTCGGTGTAGAGTTATTCACCCTGAGGTCATCACAGAGGACAAGGGGGCACTCTTTACGTCTGGAGGAAAAGAAATGTAATCTCCAAACACAGAAAGGTTTCTTCACAGTGAGAGCTGTGAAAATGTGGAATAGACTCCCTCAAGAGTTGGTTCTGGCCAGCTCAGTGGATTGCTTCAAAAAAGGCCTGGATTGTTTCTTAGATACACAGAATATAACTGGATACTAACCAGGGGCGGACTGACAACTCATGGGGCCCCCGAGCAATAGGAGATCATGGGGCCCCTGTGTCCTTGGCCAAACTCAAAAAAGCCTATGAAAAAGGTACCAGGGGCATCTCATGGGGCCCCCTACTGACCCCGGGCCGTGCCCGAGTTTCCAAATGGTCAGTCAGCCCCTGATACTAACATTTATAGGTAAAGTTGATCCAGGTATTATCCAATAGCCTCGCAGAGGATCAGAAAGGAATTTTTTTCCCAGCAGGAGCAAATTGGATCATGCATTGCTGGTTTTTTTTGCCTTCCTCTGGATCAACTGTGGGTACAGAATTATAACTTTTTTTTTGTTCTATGGTTGAACTGGATGGACTTGTCTTTTTATAGCCAGACTAACTATAACTATGTGAAGTTGGAAGCATCTGCAACAGTGACAGGGCTCCATTTAAAAGGTACATCTGTAATAATAATAATAATATTTTATTTATTATTATTATTAATTACATTATGTCATTAATCTGCAGGGGGGAGGAAATTATTTCTCTCACTTTACTACCATTTTAATACATGCCTGAAGTTCATTTTTAAATATAATACATCCTCATAAGGGTGTTCCCTACTTTCCTGAACAAATTGGGAAATTCCTCTATAAGGTGAGGTTGGGGCTATTGTTTAGAAAAGGGAAAGTACAGCACAAAAGGTTATCTTTTTCACACCATGTACTGAATAAGACGTGTTATGAGCACTGCAGAATGCAGTAATTAAAACCAAACCCGCTGGTTAGATTCTAGTTTACTGCATAAAACTAGTGATGGATGATTTCCAATTGGGTATTGGTGGTTACTGCACTTTGAATATTCTAGCTGCTGTCTACATAATACGCCCACTATGGACCAGGTCATGTACAATCATGTACTAGTAAAAGCATATTCTATTGTCTGATGCAGTAAATTTCTTTTACAGAAACCTGTGTGAGAAACATTAAAAACCCAACTTTTATAAATTATGTAATGTTTACAAAAGCCTCTTACTGATCATGGTGGTGCCTCCAGCCAAAGCTGCTCTGGTCCCCTGGAAGAAATCATCAGCAGATACCATTCCATTGCAAGGTCTCTGGAAGCAGGTGTGGACATCAATTCCACCCGGCACTACCATCCGTCCATGAGCTTCGATGGTCTTCACACCTCCCGGCACAATCAGATTCTCACCAATCTGCCTGTAAGAGAACAATGTGGTGGGTTAAAGCATAACTACAGAAGAGAAGGGGAACAAAAGAACGATTGGGCCCAGGAGGGATAGAGTTATGTATGGTTCATTCCATTTTCTGTTCTGTTATCAGCTGCGTGAGGGTCTACTGAGCATTTCATTGAAATGTTCTATATGTGAATTGTGTGAGAAGAATGCATCTTATATTAAATTTTACTTCATTTAAGTTTTTGAAAAATATGTAGACCCCACTGTAAGATGATTAAGCTTCAAATGCGATATTGATTTTTTTTTTTAAGAAAAATAATTTATAGCCATTTTGAGCTGACTTAAAGCCCAACTCCAGGCTATAATTTTTTTTTTATAAATAGGTCCCTCAGGTGCTAAAATGAGAAACCTTGGCTGCACATTTAGTCCAAAACTGTCCCCGCAGTACCTGTTCTTGGCCAAAAGATGTCCTCAGTTTTCCAGGTTGAATGACACCCAGCATTACTCAACCCAAAAGAGTGACAATTGTACTTTAAATGCAGGATGTCATGATCCCACCCCCTAAGGGGGTGTCACCTCTGCACCATTCATACTGCACAGCTCTCTGCATCAGTAAGGACAGCCCAGCCTGGAGAAGAAGCAAAGAGGAAGTGGGCCCTTGGAAAATGTTACATAATCAGCCTAAAGACTACAGAAACAAAAAAAATTTGAAAAATATGTAGACCCCTCTGTAAGATGATCAAGCTTCAAATTTTATATTGATTTTTTTTTTTTTGAAGAAAAATAATTTATAGCCATTTTGAGCTGACTTAAAGCCCAACTCCAGGCTATTTTTTTTTTATAAATAGGTCCCTCAGGTGCTAAAATGAGAAACCTTGGCTACACATTTAGTCCAAAACTGTCCCCCCGCAGTACCTCTTCTTGGCCAAAAGATGTCCTCAGTTTTCCAGGTTGAATGACACCCAGCATTACTCAACCCAAAAGAGTGACAATTGTACTTTGAATGCAGGATGTCATGATCCCACCCCCTAAGGGGGTGTCACCTCTGCACCATTCATACTGCACAGCTCTCTGCATCAGTAATGACAGCCCAACCCAGAGAAGAGGCAAAGAGGAAGAGGGCCCTTGGAAGATGTTATATGATCAGCCTAAAGACTGCAGAAACAAAAAATAAACAAACAAGAGTAAAGTATAAAATACAGACAGTAGGGCCCACAAGGAGGAACGCGAGTATGATTAAGGGGGAATAATGCTTAATTCAATAATAAACAAATAAGTGCAGCGCTGCACTTATTTGTTTATTATTGTCTCTTTAAGGTGTTTTATAGCTTACCTTTTTTGTGCTCAGTCACTTTACTTTTATTACTTCTTTGGCGCTCACAATTTTATCTATACAATGCTTAATTCAATTATGCTTGAAGCAGATACCACCCAAAGTACAAGAAAGCACAAATCAAGGTTCTACATAATATTTGACAATAAATTATAAATGACCTCCAGGCAAACAGACACTCAGATGACATAAGTATATAGGAGCTGTTTTACCTGCCAAATGAGTTACATTTCTGCCCATCCATTCCTGAAATTTAGACAGATCTGACAAACAGCCCAGTTTTGTCTGGTGGCCGGGTAAGGGAAGACCTGATTTTTCTTTGCTGCAGGTCAGTAACAATGACAGGACTTGTCCCACCCCAGCCTGTGACTGGACATTGAAAGAAGAAGCAGAAAAAACTGATAAGCTCATCTCTCGGTCACTGTTCCGCTGCTCCTTCCCCAGTCTGAATGATGTTGTGCATACAAGGATTGCAAGAGGCTGATGATAACTGGTCAAATTCAGGTACTTACCCATCTCACATTAAATATAAATACATTTAGTGATAATGGAGCTGCAGTTATTGGTGGTATTATATCTCAGGATTTCAGCGCACATGTTTCGTGGGCTACAAGGAACACCGTAGCTTTGCGTGTATAGCACATCAGCCCTCATGGCCAAACTTTTTTAAACGCCAGGATAGTCAGCTTACAGTAAATTGAACCAAAAAGCTCCCTTTCTAATGCAGGCCATAGACAGGTTATTTATCGGATGAATTTTCGTCCGCACGAAAAATCGGCCGATATTCACGCCGTTAGTGGGGCCAGCCTGTCGGCCGTTTTTCGCGGATCTTCTCATTTATTTTTATTGGTCATGCTGGAAAATCCACGGCAACGGCACCGACCGATTTTTCGTTTATCGGCCAACAATTCGTCCGATAAACGCCTGTCAATGGCCTGCATAACTGTGAATACTCTATGACATTTTAAACAAAAGCTTTTTACATGTTATTGCTGCTAACACAAATCTAAAAACAAGGTCGGTTTTCATTCAAAGTTAATTTTTTTTTAGCCCCTGGTGTTCCAGATTAGGTCCCAATGATTAGAACATCCTTAGGGATATGCAAGTTGAAGTGTTTTTTAACCTCAGACATCTAGGACCTGATGTTCTCATTTCTATGACATGTGTGGTGTCATCATGCCACGATCCATACAGCACTATAAGGCCCTCAGAAAGAAAATTGTGGATGTCAATGAGTCTGACAAGGATTTAAAAGAATCCCCAAATGATTTTACATCTATAATTCCAATGTAAGGAAAATAACCTACAAGTGCTGTAGATTTCAAACAACTGCTTATTTGTCCAGGACTGTCTGGCCCAGCAAATTCAACCCTAGAGTTGACTGTTTTATCATAAAAGAAGTTTTTTTTAGAACCCCAAAATTTATTTTTGAGATGTCCAAGTAACTCTTGCAACAGTTGGAGTTAAAGTGCCACTTGGAGTTAAAGTGTATGCATCTACAATCAGAAAGAGACTGCCCCAGTTCGACTTGCATGAGAGGTGATTTAGGAAAATGCCTTTCCTGTCCACAAAACACATTCTAGAAACATTACGGTTTGCCATTGAACATAAAGAGGCAAAGACAGTGCTGAAGAGTTGCTTGGTTACAGTAATAGAAACATGTTTAATGCAAACCAAAGACATTATTTCAGGATATTAAACTCTCAACTGTAAAACATGGTGGTGGAAAACGTATGGTCTGGGGGTTTCTTTACTGCTTCAGGGCCTGGCAACTTGCAGTCATGGAGTCAAGTATACATTCTGCATCATATCAATGTGTGCTTGATGAGAATGTGAGGCCAGCTGTCTAAAAGTTGAAGCTGACCTGGAAAGAAGCCTTTCAACATGGTGATCCAAGCTACACTAGCAATTGACTCAAAAAATAGAAGGGTTATGGACTACCCTATTAAAAGCTCTTCAAGACCACCTAATGTACATGTACACTGCAGTTTTGAAGTGGAATACCAGGGTTATGGCTGCAGCTGGATGCCCAAACCCCGGTATTAGAATTTTCCTCAGCTGCTCTTTTTGATAAAAGTGATCCAAGTGGTTGATTCACTGCTGGATCAGTTTTAGAAGCGGTGGGAGGGGTTGCCCCCCCTCTCCCACCACTTTCCAGTGGTTTTTGGGCTTACCTGGCTCATCGGGTAGCCCGGTAACTAATCCAGCGGTTGCTGGTCATAGAGATCAACAGAGGAAAGATAGCCTCCATTCAGTTCTATGACCAAGGAGACCAGGAGTGACATCATAATGTCCCTTCTGGTTCATGGTTAATTCTTTTTTTTTTTTTTAAAGCATTAGATCACTTATTTTTTTTTGCTGATCTGATGCTTTCCATTTTAGAGGAGAGATGTGGGGGTCCTATTGGTCCCAGATATCTCCATAAAGAGGACCTGTCATGCTTTATTGTTATGACAAGGGATGTTTACATTGCTTGCAATAGAAATAAAAAGGATTACAAAAAAAATTTAAAGGGATACATGTGTGCGTCATGCCCACATAAGTAAATGGTGTTTGCACCACACATGTGAGGTATCGCTTCAAACGTTATAGTGAAAGCAATAATTCTACCACCAGACCTCCTCTGTAACTCTAAAGTGGTAACCCGTAAACATTTTTAAAGCGTTGCCTATGGAGATTAAGTACCGAACTTTGGCGCCATTCCACAACAGTGTGAAATTTTAAACCCCGACATGTTAGATATCTATTTACTTGGCATAACATCATCTTTCATATTTCACAAAAATATAGGGATATATTGTGTTTGGGTTTTTTTAATTCATTAAAGTGTTTTTTTTCTCAAAAAAAATTGCATTTGAAAAACCGTGTGACATAAAAATTTGCCACAACCACCATTTTATTCTCTAGGGAAGAGGTTCTCAACCTGTGAAACCTCAGGACCCACATTTGTCTTTGGACATTAAGTTGTGACCCAAATATAATTTAATTTCTGAACACATTTTAATTTATTCCACAAGACGACTTATTGCAGTATTCTACAATGTACACAATAAAACACTTTTTAAAGTATAAATAAAGTAAATATATAATTATTTTAAACATACATAAAGTAACAAAAATCCACCAATACCCCGTAACTTTAAGCAATGCCCCCTCTAGCTCTCACTAATAGCCCATTAAGCTGAGCAATGCTTCCTCTACATTTCAATCTCTCAACTGCACACTAAGTTAAGTGTATTAATGTTTTCAGTGGCTTTTTAAATAAACAATATAGTGTGTGCAATATTTGTGTGAGGGTTTGCAGTCCCCCCCTCCCTTACCCCTTTTATGCTCTTTCCATATCCCCCTTTCACATCCTCCTTTAATACTCACTTTGACCCCCTTTTCATGCCCTCCCTTTCATGGCTTCCTTCAGTCCTCCCCTTTCATGCGCACTTTCAGTACCCCCCCCCCTCCCCCATCACCATCGCTATCTTTTTTCTTTAACTCCTTTCAAAATGCACTCTCCATCACCCCTCCACAACCCAGGAAAAGTACCTAGCGGAGTCATTCCCTGGCATCCAGTGGTGCTTTTCTTTCCTCCTGCGCGGCTGACTAGCTGGAAGGAAGTGTAGTTTTATGTCACTTCCTCCCAGTGCTGCCACGGAGGAAGGAGGAATGAGCGCGAGGGCCGTGGGACTGCTTTGTAAGGGCACCGTGTGCACCACCTTAATGGGACAAATATTAAAGCCGGCCGTAGTTGTGGTCCCGGCTGTCCTAACATTTATATTAGTGTGGTCAGCGGTTTTTATTAAGCTATGTTGTCAGAGCAACAGACGTTTTATTGGGCCATTGGAGAGGCCTAGGGGGAACTTGCCTCTGGTCGCGACCCACTTTTGGGTCATGACCAGGGGCTGACTGACCATTTGGAAACTCGGGCACTGCCCAAGGGCCCGGGGTCAGCAGGGGGCCCCATGAGATGCCCCTGGTACCTTTTTCATAGGCTTTTTGAGTTTGGGGAAGGACACAGGGGCCCCATGATCCCCTATTGCCCGGGGGCCCATGAGTTGTCAGTCCGCCCCTGGTTATGACTCATTACTTGAGAAACATGGCTCTAGGGCCTCTACTGAAAAAAAATATATTATGTTTGGGGCTTCTAAGTAATTTTCTAGCAAAAAAAAATACTGGTTTTTACATGTAAACAAAACGTCTCAGAATAGGTCCTGGTACTTAATTGGTCTGTATTGAAATTTTGTAGGGGGGCTTTGAAATGGACAGCTTATGCAAGGAAACCCACAGACATCTTGCAACTGAAGAAATTTAGCATGAACAAGTGGTCGGAAATTTCAGAGACAGGTGGGCAGTGATGCAAAATGTTTACAAGATGTAATTTCTGCTACAGGGGGGAATACCAGCTTCTTGATATTTTTGGCAAATACATGATTAAAAAATGCTATTTTTTTAATTCTTATTGAAGTGTATCATCTTTATTTGTAAGTACTGTCTGAATAAAGATATGATGTTTTTGTGTTCAAATATGTTGAGGTGTACCTAAAGGATAAGCTCACGCCCATATTTAGGGTGTAACATGCTCCAGGTCTGCCCTCCACGTACCCCCTTCTTGTGACAGCAGCCAGGGGATTCCCCCCCCCCCACACCCGCTTTTCTATAACACTGTAGGGCTCCACCCACATGGCCGCATGCTTCATTCACAACAATCTGAAAATGAATGAACTACAAATCCCATCTGCCACTGCGGCAGACAGCTAGTAGTTTTCATTGGACTGTGAGGGCACTGATAAGCACCCTCGTAGTTCACTGATACTTTCTACAGCTTTGTAACTGTCTGCCTGTATGGAGGTAAGACTAGGCAAGTGTCTGCAGGAGCCTGACATTGCACCCATGATCTACTGGTGCTGAGTACAATGCTTTTTCAGGCTCATAAGAAAAAAAAATATAGGAACTTTTTTGTTTCCTGCAAAAATATGTGCATTTATTATTTTTTTTCTTAAAGCGGAGTCCACTCACACTGTAAAAAATAGAAGTCAGCAGCTACAAAAACTGTAGTGGCTGACTTTTAAAAAAGAGCCACTCACCTGTCCCATGATCCCACGGTGTCCTCCCCGCAGCCTATTTCACCAGCTGTCCTGTGTTCCAGGCGCCGGCATCTTCAGTGTGGACACCCGGCTGTGACAGCTTGCGGCTTCACTGCGCATTCGCAAGTAGCGCTGCGCTTCCTGAATGGCCCCGTCGTCTTCTAGGACCTGTCACGTGTCCCAGAGGACTACAGGGAGGGAGGGTAGGAGAACGACTTCCGCTTCCGATTGCCTAGGTGATCGCAGCAGAAGTGGGAGCGTGTTCTTTTTAATTTCAGGTACCCGCTCCCCAAAGGTGCCAATCCTTAATGGGGAGCGGGGGACCAATCTTTAAAGGAGAACTTCCCCTTTTGGGTGGAATTCCGCTTTAATAATGAACTTAGCCGTTAATATTAAACATTACTATACATACCTCTATATGCATAATATATAATATTTAGCTCAAGCCTTCAGCCTTGTAAAGTAAACAGTATTTAATTTAAAGCTACATTAAGAATTGGATGTTTTACTTACTTAATTAACCCATCCTCCATGTAAATGTCAGCATGGAATGACTGGTCATCATTGACGATCTTACCTCCTTTGATAAGGAGTCGATCACTCTGAAAAACATCACATAATAATTGTTAATAATCAGCCATAGTTTTAACACAGAATGTATGATGCAAATGTATGACAAATGTACACTCCATGATTACACCCTAGTAATCCTAGTTCAATCCATCAATAACATACATAGAAGCCCAGAAGAAAGTGGTGTCAAAAGTGAGCAGAGCCAAACTGAGCAATGACATGATTACATTAACAGAGGGATTTGAAGCAGATCCAAACCTAAAAGTGACAGCACGGGCACATAAATATTTTACATTCTTACAGTGATTAAACATTCATCAGAGATGAGAAGAAAATCATATTTTTCTGTAAACAAGTAAATTCTGCTTCCCTTTGGTTGACCGTCTGGTCATGTTTTTGGCTTGTGCTTATGCCAAGATCCTAGTGGAGTGACCAGGGACCGTCCAAGCAATGGCCAACACTATCTGCCTGTTTATCAGTTTTTTTTAGATCCTGGAGTACAGACCACATGACCAATGCCATGACACTGGTCATGTGACTGGGCAAGGATGGCTGTGAAATCAACCTAAATACAGACAAAGGCAAACTTGTAAACTGATCGATATTTTAATTTACTGCTGGGAGGTTAAATACTTCTATACACTTTTTTAAAAGGAGTACTAAAGTCACATTCATTATATTAAAGTGGTAGTAAAGGCTAACTCTAACTATTCTAAAAAAAACATTCCATCCCCCTCCTCCTACCTTCCCTGTATAAAATAGATCTGTGTACATACCTATTTTTAATCTGGTTAGGTCATATGACCGTGCAGCTCCAGCTCTTCTGTGTAAGGGAGCGCTGAACAACAGCTGTGAATTCCAGAAGCAGCGACATCACCCATAGGCTCCCATGGCCCAGCTGTTGACAGCACTCCCTCCTCTCCCCTGCAGCAGCAGCTCACTGACACAGGAGAGCTAGAGCTGCAAGATCACACAACCGGACCAAACTAAAAATAAGTACACATATATTTTTTAATACAGGGTAGGATTGGTAGGAGCATGAATTAGCCTTTACTACCACTTACTACCAAGTATTAATACAGCGCATTAAACACTGACACAAAAAACATTGTATTTGTATTGTTGAAATATTTTTGCTTATTTGAAGAAAAAAAAAAATAATGCAGCCACCACATCTAAGAACCAATAAGCTGTAGCATATTACACTTTTGTTCTTGGATTTAGATACACTTTAAACACTGGAGCCTTAAATAAACGAATGTTCAAAAACATTTTTTTTTCCACTGGTCTGCTTTGGTGTAAAAGTTGAAATTAATTTTTGCTACCTTTTTTTATTATTATTTTTACTATTAATATTATTATTTGTATTATTGATATTATTATTTGTATTATTATTATTATTATTGCTATTATCAAATTGCACACAACATAATAAAATACAGATACTGCTTAGAAAAACAACAACATTCACATATTGTAAACCAGATGACAAAGCAAACATCATAAAATAGAACACTAGTGAGTGGAAAATTCTGTCAAAAACACAAGAAGGAAAGAAGGAAAATTAAATTGTGGTTGCCAGGGATAGGAAGAAAAAAATGAAAGGAGGAATGGAGATGGGGGGGGGGGGGGGGGGGGTATTACAGTTTGTACACAAGGGGCTTTAAAGTGATTCTAAAGGATTTTTTTAAGATAACAAATATGTTATACTTACCTGCTCTGTGTAATAGTTTTGCACAGAGCAGCCCTGATCCTCCTCTTCTAAGGTCACCCTTGCCAAGTGCCCCCATAGCAATCTACTTGCTATGGGGCCACATGTGCAGGTTCAATTGCGAGCTGTGCACTGTGTGACCCTTGACACAAAAAGCATGGCTCAGCCCCACCCCCTCCTCACTGGCTGTGATTGACAGCAGGAGGAGCCATGGCTCTCATTGCTGCTCGATGTCCAGTGAGTGGAGAGAGAGCAGAGATAGCCACTGCTCTCACGCACATCACCAGATGGAGATGGGGCTCAGGTAAGTATATAGGGGGGAAGCGAAGCACACAGAAGGTTTTTTACCTTAAAGCATAGAATTCACTTAGGTAAAATACCTTCTACCTTTAGAACCACTTTAACAGGCTCTTTATATGGTGGTGTACTGCCTTCCATACAAGTGAATGGTTGTACATGGCTATGCTCTTGTAAATGCCAATGCTTCTTGCATTGGCACTCACCCACACATGCACCTCCGTACGTGAAAGCTGTATATTCAGAATATACACCAGACATGTACAGTTAGGTCCATGTATATTTGGACACAGGCACAATTCATACTTTTGGCTCTGGATGCCACCAGAATAAATTAAAATGAAACCATCCAAATGAATCTGAAGTGCAAACTTTCAGCTTTAATTCAAGTGCTTGAACATAAATATCAAGTACAAATTTTAGGAACTGCAACATTTTTATACACAGTCCCTCCATTTTCAGGGGCTCAGGTGTAATTGGAGAAATGAATATAATCATAAATAAAATGTTCATTTTTCATATTTTGTTGAGAATCCTCTACTGGCAATGAGTGCCTGAAGTCTGGAACCCATGGACATTACCAAAGGCTGGCTTTCCTTCCTTCTGATGCTTTGCCAGGCTCTATCTATGCAGCTGTCTTCGGTTGTTCTTTGAGGATCTTTCTGCCTTTGGTTTTGCCTTCAGCAAGTGAAATGCATGCTCAATTGGGTTGAGATCAGGTGATTGACTTGGCCATTGCAGAATATTCCACTTCTTTTCCTTCAAAAGCTCCTGGGTTGCTTTTGCAGTATGTTGTGGATCATTGTCCATCTACTCTGTGAAGCGCCGTCCAATCAACTTTGCTGCATTTGGCTGAATCTGGGCTGACAGTATATCTCTAAACACTGCAGAATTCATCCGGCTGCTTCTGTCTTTTGTCACATCATCAAAAAAACACCAATGACCCAGTGTCACTGGAAGCCATGCATGCCCATGCCATCACACTGCCTCCACCATGTGTTACAGATGATGTTGTGTGCTTTGGATCATGAGCTGTTCCAAGCCTTCTCCACACTTTTTTCTTCCCGTCATTCTGATACAGATTAATCTTAGTAATATAAAAGAGGGTGCAGCACTAGTAAAATCAATAAATAAATATCACATATATATGAATGAATAAATATAATAAAGTGACACTGTGCAATTATATATATGCCACTAGGATATGTGGCTAATATCGTGAGAGAAAAGCACTATGTCAAACGGAGATAAGTCCAAGGTGAAAGTGTGATCGACATCTCAGATGATCTTCGGACGTGCAATGACATAATTTGTGGATGAGGTGAGAGAATTTAGGATATAGACTGTGCATTCACCAGATACGCAACCTTTATGCGCATTTGTGTAATATGACAAGGACATCAGATATCTTCACATAGGTCTGGTCAGATCTGGTCATGCATTCTTCACTGCCTCATGGTTTGCACTCAGAGTTCCCATTTAAAGATGACCACTCTGTGGATGTAGCCAGCTCCCTCAGGAGCTCAACAAAACAGAGGAGGCCAGTAGTGCAATATGTCAAGAATATTTATTTCAAAGTATAGGCAAGTGAACATAACAAAATGAGTACTGACCAGATTCAAAGTTGCCGCCGGGACCCCTCGTGGTGCCGGCGGTATAGGCGTCACACAGCTGTAGCTCGAATCTGACGCATTTTGAGCGAATGCTCGTAGTCATAGGGTTTTCAGCTATCAGCTGCTGACGCTTCTCTGTCTGTTATTTAAAGGATAGAATATAGTGCAAAAGTTCATTTATTTCAGTAATGCAACTTAAAAGGTGAAACTAATATATGAGATAGACTCATTACATGCAAAGCAAGACAGTTCAAACCATGATTTGTCATAATTGTGATGATTATGGCTTACAGCTCATAAAAACCCCAAATCCACAATCTCAGAAAATTAGAATATTGTGAAAAGGTGCAATATTCTCGGCTCAAAGTGTCCCACTCTAATCAGCTAATTAAGCCATAACACCTGCATTATTGTTCTATGTACAATCCTTGTTTTATTGATTGCATGTAATATTCTAATTTTCTGAGATTGTGGATTTGGGGTTTTCATGAGCTGTAAGCCATAATCATCACAATTATGACAAATCACGACTTGAACTATCTTGCTTTGCATGTAATGAGTCTATCTCATATATTAGTTTCACCTTTTAAGTTGCATTACTGAAATAAATTAACTTTTGCACGATATTCAAATTTTTTCGAGTTTCACCTGTATATAATTAAAGTTTATGTCCAAAACTTTTTTTTTTCTACGTTTCACCTGTATATAATTTTTGGGGTTAGATTGGGGAAGAACTGAAACCCCTTTGAGATCTTTTGCTGCTATTTAGGGCTCATTGATAGATATTTTCACTCATACATTTTAATGGTGACACCAGTTTCCCTAAATAGGAAGTGAGGGAAAATCTATAACAGGGACACAGACATCAATTAAAAGCTGATGTGTTTCTAGCCTTCCACAACTAAAAAAATAAATGAATTCATAAACGTAATTCTATTGGTGTCACTTCTTGCTTCCAGTCTGGTGAAACCCCTGACACTGTTATAGTAAAACCCAACAGGGGTCCTAACTGCTATCCTTGTTGGACATCAACAAGTTGTGGTGCTTTGTGACACATTGTAACTTGTGTTGTGTTTCCATGCAGCTTGTTCCATTTTCAACCAGCAAACACCAACCATGGTGTGTTGGATTTCCATGTGACCATGGATTTCAGCTTGCCAATGCACTTAGTCTGTGTTGATCAACCCAACAGATATGGTGTGAATAGGTCAATGTATTTTGAAATATAACTTTTATAAATGGTCTAACAATGTCTTTATAGTAGCTTCCTGGAAACTGCACACGAGATGAGAGCAGAACAATGAAAACTGCCTCAAATCTATATTTTTAGTGGATCTTCACTTAGATGTTAGAGGGTCTGTGACTGATTTTTTGTCCACACCTCTACCAAACAATTACCCAAGTGGCCTG